CAGGTGTTGACATTCTGCATGTCCTGGATGCTGATTACTGTTAGTGGGTGGGCTTTATTCTTGGATAGAAACTCACCTCTCAAGTGCATGTGATACACCTCGAAATGCTACACACGAGTGAAAGGACTGGGCATAGCATAGCAACCTCTTCCTGAAGGGCTCTCACCTCGAGCAGATACTAGCACTGACCCTTGGATGATACAAAAAAACCCAGCACACCTCATAGCCAGCGGCCTCCAGCGTTGCTAGTAACCGCGGAAATACAACACTGCCCAGGTCAATCCCCAGCACCTGCAGGAACTGGTATCCACCCTAGTTGCCACCGTTTTAAACCCGAGGCCACAGACACTGTACATAAAACTTGTTCTTGAAAGCTTCCGACTCACGATCGAGAAAGCAGGTAGGGTCCAAAGGGTCTGTGCGTCCTACATGGTTCGTGGTTATGGCTATCTCGCTGGTAGTATACCATCGACCCCTGAAACCCTGGATCAAGTCTCGTCAAAGCTACTCATTCAATACGAGCAGCAGCCAGGCATCGACGGTGGATATTTCGCCGGGGAATGTCTCCCCTTGAGCGAGCACACATGCCATTGTTATGAGACGACAAAGTGAAGGTACCATCAACCAAGTCCAACGTCGATCCTGATCTTCACTTGGGAGCGATCCCTGCCGCATTATTGGCGGATGAAGAATAAAGTGCAGCTATATTACATCAGGATCAATTGCGTTCGCCTTCGCATCAACGTCAACGTTCATCAATGGCCACAAACGCAAAGGCAACACAAACAGCAGGGATCAATCGGAAGATGCCGACTCTACCCGCCACAACACAACGTACTTATGCACGTAAACATGTGAAAGAACACCTCTTTACCCGTACCGTGTCCTCAACCTCCTAACCCTGTAGACAAAGAAAAGGAGCATATACCCAATCGAGCAAATGTCCCTTGTCCTCACAGGATAAATTGACGGGGGTGATTCCTCAACCCCATAAGCCAGCTCAGTATCCTTGTGAGACGGTGGCCCTAAGCAGGGACCAAAAGTACATCCTACTTGGTATCGGCTGGATAAGTCTGGTCTGGTCTGGTCTAGATCCGCCACAGGGTGCGGAGTGATCTGCACGGAGGGTGATTGCGTTACATTCACTTGCATCGAAGTACTTTCATTCATCTATCTAATATATTAGCTCTGGGGTGCCTGGGATAATGAGGTAAGGGGCGGAGATGAGCTAACCTAGCGTTATTTTCCTGACAGGCTACGAAGAAGCGAGTGGTTATGATAATTCGCTCATGTCTGGGATTAAGGTTTGGACTCTTCTTAGGGACTAGTGTGTGCATAGGAGAGTGATTGTCAAAGGTAGCATTCATACGGATAGTACACTGCATAACTGCATAAGAACTTTTGGGTATATTAACTAGTCAAGGAATAATCCCAGCGCCACCGATAGGAGAGTAGCCCAATTAATAAAAGTCAAGTCATTATAGTATACAGCGATCGTAAGAAGAGGATGGATCTGATTCGCTATGTGCGAAATTTCTCACTCTCCTTGTTATGTCGCCACAGCCCGCCCGGGAGCAGATTCTGTTTCAGGAGCGCCAGCTCCTTCTGCAGCGCGGCGTTCTCGTCCTGCAGCTCCTGCATGTACGCGATGGCATTGGTCAGGATCTCCGACTTCTTCAGTGAGGCGGGCCCCGACCCGCCCTTGGTGGGTTTCTGGACCCCGCTGCCGGACATGGCTTTTTCCAGGGCGACGAACTTGGCGTTCATGTTGGTGCGGTACCGCTTTTCGATGATGTTGTGGGCAGCACGCTTGGCGGCGTTGCGGCCTGTTGCTGTTTGCGAGTCGGCGGAGAGACTGCGTGAATTCTTGCGGGAGGTTGAGGCCGCAGGGGGAGAGACGGGTGCAGGAGCGGGAGAGGTGGCGGCCTGTGAGCCGACGGGGTATTCTTGCGGGGTCATTTCAGGGCTGGAGGACCAGCGGGTCGCTTGTTCGCGTTTTTGGGTGGTTGTTCTGCGGCGGGTTGTTGGCTTTTCACTTGTGCGTGGCGAGACGGCTGGGGCGTCTGTTGCAGCAGAGTCGAGTGATGAGACACGGTAGGCTGGTGACCAGGGTTGATCGTCACTTTCCAGATCCTGGATTGTCCTTTGTCAGTAAGTTTGTAAACATTGGCCGTAATATGAGAACATACCGATGAGAGAGAGTCCTCGCCAGAGTGAGAGATTGCAAATCCGCTGATATCTGCCGGCGGAGCGAACAGATCCACAGGGAAATCCTTGGGATCGAGCAGCATATCATTTGGGATGTCGAGAGGGAAGGTCTCGGGAAGCATGGTGTTCAGCGAAAACAAATCGATGGCGCTGTCATAACTCCAATTGGCTGACAATGGATCGGGGCCTTTGGGTTGTTGGTTGACAAAGCGGTCATCGTTATCAAAGGTGAATGCCGTTGCGGCATCAGGTCTGTTGTATGCCATGGCAGGTGATGATACTTGTTGAGTACTGATTTGAGTACGGTGCAGAAACGGATGTGATCGTAGCTGGAGGCGGAAATATAAATATCGAATTGTGTTCAGGAGGTCTGGATGACAGATATAGAACCGTGGATCTGAAAAAGATAATTCAGGTTGAAAAGGCCGCGCCGGGAGATATATAAAGCCCGTGCACAATTCATTATTTTCCGTGGTCCACACCGAGAAGTCGCTAGAGCAAGAGGTGTATTCGCTTGTCTGGCAATCCACCTGTCACCGGTGACGCGCAACCGTGATCACCCCAGCCGGATGCAGGGCATCCAGTATCGGTGGGCTCCGATGAGGGCCGTTGAAAATCAGGACCATCTCGTTGCATAAAGGCAAAAAGACACCGACGTCAGAGGTGACCGGTCCAGATGTCAGAGATCGAAAAGTACCACAGTGGCTGAACGATGATAACCGCACAGTGGATGCAAAAAAAGTCAACGGGCCAAAATGAGTGGACGAGCAGCTGCACCACAACCGTTGGACCAAGGGAGAAAACGGAAGATCGATGGTTAGACTAGTGCCTTAGCCGTACTGACCACGAATAGGGGCCATTGCCAAGATGCTTCGGCCGAAACTCGTCACCAGTGGTTCTCTCGGCCCCGAGTCTACGGCCGGTACGTCTGCAGAATACGGGTATTATTCCTCCTGCCATGCAACCAGCAATACAATACAGTTATCAAAATACGTACAGGATCCGTGCTGAAACAAGTGCCTCGATGTACTCTGAGCTTTCAGCCAATGTTGTTGCGCTATTGTTTCTATTTGCCTTGATCCAGATGGCGGGTTTGATTTTATCCTGTCCACGGCCTTGTTCTTGAGCTCCATTAATCCGACAGACAGCTACTCTGGACAGCTGGCCAGAAGCTCGAAAGAGATCTCAATGCATATCGATTAGACCTGGATTCTATCTTATACAGGAAGAGTTGAGAGTCTATCGAATAGACCTAGCAACGGAAGTACGATACAATATAAACAAGTGTTGCGAGAGCTCTCGAAGCCTCCTAATCTAGCAAATTGTCACGTCTGACTCTCCAATTCATTGTGCATTCTGCACGGCTTCTTCACTCTGTAGTTGTACCTATGTATAGCTCTTGCTCTATCGGTAGATACCTGTGCCTAGTGGGTTCGGTACCCCAGATAGCGAACCGAAGCCGTTGACGATAGATCTGTCAGAAAACAACCAATAGCCACGTTGGCAATTCCAATTACCAGCCCAATTGCCTTGTTTCTCAGAATTTTCTCGGGTGTATCCGCCGGCAGTACTTACTAGACTACCGTAGTGCGACTGTAGTGCCAACCAGACAATGACACACGGCCCAGTCACCGAGCCGGCACGGATTCCGGGCCTCAAGGGTCTGGCTGCATGCCACTCAGTGGTGTGATCCCGGATCTCTGATTGCGAGGACCCATCCCGTTCCTGGCGCGTCAGCGGCGTGAGGTTACCTGTGCCGTGGCTGTTAAGGTTGAGCCCGTGGGTTCGATCAGGGTTGTGGATTTCGGAATCCGTGGGCGTGTGATACACCTACGTGATACATCCTATCTAGAAGTGATGCGTCGGACCTGGCCGTTGTAGAGTAAGGTGATCTTTCTGTGTTGATTCCGAGTATCTCGACCGAGAAATTTGTGTCTGCGCGTGTGACCTTTCCTCTCGTCAAGGAACATATGTAACATGCCGGGACAGAAAAGCGGGAAAAGAATGTATCCTGGCCATGTATAACTGCCATGGTGCGGCTAGGATTCAGGCTGGCTCACATGCATTGCGCAGCCTTATCGGTTATTTGGCTTCTTCAGGTTCAACATCACTTCCGCTTGTGCATGGTAGTATGGTATAACGAGTAATGCTTGCTCGCTAAAAGAGACAATTCTTCTAGACTACATCAGATAGTGTGGAATCTGTAGAATTAAGTATTGAATGATGCCAGGTAGCGTCAATCTTCTACATGATGAAAACAAGCAGTAAATCCCGGACGCACTGACCTTGGTACCCAGTCCTGGGACACTGTACTATGAATTTCCCCAGGCCTTCAAGAATACACCCTGGCTATTTGCCTGACATTCTAAGTAAATAGTAAGAAGTGGAGTCCTATTAACTGCTGATGGTTGGCCAGTGGATGAGAATGATGGCGATATTGGTTATGGCAGTGTCTCCAGTCGAGCCCCATCTCGGTTATATATTGAACCCCCTCAACGGCCATGCTGTACTTCAGTGCTCTTGAACTGTTACTCGGCTGTTATGTGATGAGCCCTGGTGTCTTGCCTCATTCAACACTATTAACGTGGATGAAGTATCAGGTAACATTGAGTCGCTAGTCACCAGTGCCCAAGATGCAAGTGAGTCTATGAAGTACGGGGTTTCCTTTCTCAGCTAGCCCACAGAAGTACTGCAAGGCATCAGAGCTGGCAGAGGTGCTGTTGACCTGAGGACCACTGCTCGGAAGCTATATCCCGGAAGAAAGTCCAACTAGCATGGAGTGTTTTGCAGGTCTACTGTCTCCCCCCAACCAACCCCTGAATGGTGGTCTCAAAATCCTCTGGCTCCCTCCCCAAAATCTCCCCCAGAACAGGCGACACAACCGCTGTCTCCCCCGCCCGGATCGCCTCCCACGCCGTCGCCCACTCCCTCGACAGATTCACCCCATGGTACGTATGCTTATCCCCGATCTGCGGCAGCGCCACATACTCCTCCACCGTGATCACCCGGATCCGCACAGGCTTCCCAACTGCCCGCCCCAGAACCTCCGCCGTCTCAGCCAGACTCACCTCCCTCGGTCCAGAAAGCAGCACCGCCCGATTAAGATACGGGAAGCCAGACGGGTTCTTCGCATACGCATACACCATCTTCGCAGTGGCCTCGCCCAGCTCGTCGCGCTTCGCCCATGCCACCCCCGGCCCCGTACCCGGGTGCGGAATCGTGATCTCCTCGGCTGGATTGTGCAGGTCGAACCATGCCGTGTAGATCGGGAAGGATTCGGAGTAGATGCCCTCGCGGATGGCGGTGTAGGTGAAGTGGCCGGGGAGCTCGGCGAGGTACTTTTCCGTCGCGAGGTGGGCGCCCATGACGTGCGCGAGGCTGGACTCGCCCAGGTCGCCGGCGAAGGCCAGCGAGGAGTAGAAGATGTGTTTGACGCCGCTGCGGCGGGCGGCGTCGATGGCGGCTTTGTGGGCCTGGTTGTTTTGCGTTAGCTCATTCAGTAAAAGGATTTAGAGTTGAAAGGGGGAGTACCTCTACTCGGTGTTGGATCTCGAAGGAGGCGTAGGAGATCAGCATCAGTACGCCGACGTTGTCGAAGACGCGCTCAAGTGTTGCGCGGTCATCGTAGTCTGCTCGGCGGATTGTTGCGCCTTCGCGGGAGAGCGAGGCTAGCTTTTCAGGGTTGCGGGCGATGAGGATGAGTTGTGAGGCAGGGACGAGCTTGACGAGGTGGTTGATGATGCTTGTTCCTAGGCCTCCGGAGGCCGGGAAGACGCCGATTTTCTGGCTCATCTTCTTGCGTCTCTGTTGATGGCTATGATGTAATAATGGTGGTGGTGGTGGGTTATGGTCGGGCTCAGGGACCTTAGTTGTATATCAAATGGACAACTGATGCTTGTATGCAGTCAAGGATATGGTTAAACATATAGTTTAAAGATAGATAATAATACATCCGTGCAAATGCTGATGTCTGATGTCTTGATGCTGTCAGTCTGCTTGTGATGGTTCCATCGGGGATTACAAATTGTGATGCTCCACTGTCGCACCATGGGGTGGTCTATTCAGGGGCCAATGATAATAATACAAACGCTGGCTACATCTTGTTATAAGCCAGAATGAATCGCTGCCCATCGTACTCCGACACGGTGTAATACTCCTTGCGCACCGTGTTATAGCTCAAATCCTCATTCCCCGCCATGAACCATCCTTTACGCAACTCCGCTGCTTTTCCAGGCTTCCACTTGAACATATCCCCAGCTTTGGGGGTCCGTCCATTGCTGCGCGAGAGGTAGAATGTGTTCTCATAGGAGAAGCCGCCCTGCATGCGCAGAAAATCGGCACAGTACGCAAATGTGGCGGTGACGATGCTCTTGTCATCGGTCTTGAGCTTGCTAGTGTTGGTGTCGACTGGGTACTTCACAAGACGGATTGGGTCTTTGGAGTCGTCGTCGATAAACTCGCCGACCAACAGCGTGTTGTCGCTGCGATCGAGAGACACCCAGGAGAAGCGGAAGGGAGACGCAGACCCCGCTGTCCATTTGTAGGATCTGTCGGTGTCAATAAAGATCATCCAGCCATTGCAGAAAATCAACATACCGAATCTGAGGAAGAACATAGAGGTATCCCGCCGCAGTGTACTTTCCACCGACCTTTCCAACATCATCACCATCCTCCACCTGCCAGATCTTACCCAAATCAAACACCCGGATCCCATGCGACGTGTCCACAACATACAGCCACTCTCCGTACCACGCAATCCCACCTGCATGCACTGGCACGGCAGCAAAATTGTCATCCGCAGTGGGCTCCACCAGTAGCACATGGCGGTACTTGTGCGTCTTGCGGTCGACAAAGCTCACACGTACGCTCTTATCGTCGTCGCGATGCCAGCTAACAATCCACATCTCGCGGCCGTCCCATTTGCCCGAGGCTGAGGCATCAGCGGACCCGGTGATTCCTTGCGGCACCCATTTGGTAGTCGCCACATCGCCGGAGTTCCATTTCCAGGACTCGACGGGGCTCGTCCCAACAGGGGGGTTCCCCTTGACGAGGTCACGGTTGGCAGAGTCAAGGACGTGAGGGATGCTGACATTTTTGCCGGCGGAGGAGAATATACGAGACAGCGAGGTTAGATGCGTGTTGTCATTGGTCTGCTGGAGGGTAAAGGCTGAAGCCGTGAGAGGGCCATTGCCTTTAGTGCAGAGACGGGGGTCTGCGGCACTGGCAGAGAGAAAGAGAGAGAGAAGACTGGTAAGGGCGAAAATGGACTTCATGGTGCGTTGTTAGACCAGACAATCGTCCTTGACTCCTGCAGTTTCCATCACCCCTTATATAGTCGTGGCATGGATGATTGTTGAAATGACTTCTTTCTTGGCAGAACTATGTTTAGCTGGATACGAGTTGTTCCTGTTGCGGATACGCGAACACGAGGGATCAACACAAAATAGGACTCATTCTCAGCTCCATTCTTCGTGTTCACGTAACCTGCCTTGAAGATCGGTAATTAGCACCCTAATATGTCAATACAAATCGGGTCCATGAGTCGTGGACGAGAGAGACATATTTAGCACTGAGAAAATTGAGGTTGATTACTGACAATCCGGGGAGAACTAGCATGAAGTCTATTGCAAGGGATGTAAACATAGAAAAAGAGCTGCATAATGAACTTATTATACACAGTCATTAAAATATCACGATGGGGTGGCTGTTGGTCAACTCGCCTTCTGATCGTAAAATTGGGATAGACAAATCTCCCCCAGGTCACACGAGTCTTGCCTAATCAATTGACGCGTCTCTTTGTTTTCTTCCATATCCTCATTCAAGCATCAATTCCGTTTTCGGCCCCATCTTTGTCTCCGCAGTCCACCTCACAGCCAGAGTCCATTAGTGTTTACTTCTCCTTTTCTGGTCGAGAGTCGTCCGACCCTGAAAAGCCGTCTTTGAATCCAGTATGCCCCAGTCCCCCACCTTGCGGGAGCTCCCGACGCATGCCACAGCCACAGGAGGGTTGTTATGCTGATGGCGACTGGTGCGATCGTTCATTATGAATTCCCCTGAGTCGTCAGCATTTGTCCTCGTCTCTGCTTGGATTCTGTTCAAAGTTTTATAATTTACTACTGTTTACCAGCTGAATTCCCAGCTCCTAGATTTATTCCCTAATTCTCTGACAGCTGATTCTTCCAACTGGATGACCATCATCGTCCATGTTCTACTATCTCAGACTCCATGCAGCCAGTTCTCACTTTCTCGAACTCCCTACACTCTCCATACTCATACCCTGAACCAGAGCATTATTCGGCCTTGCTGCCAACACGCCCTGTTGTTGATGAATATGACAATTACTTGTTCAGCGACGAGGAGTTCTGATCAATATCAGGTACTGAGGGAACATTCGCGCCATGGGCGAGATTGCCACCAAATGGATGTCTAGTTTCCACGTAGTGATTTGATGGCCTCAGATCAGGCCTTCTTCTCTCTTCAACAGGAATGACTGCATAGTTCTAAGATCTTAGGGTTCTTTGCAACTGAGCTAAAACTTGAGTCCTTTGACATCCTACGATGTGATGGCACTAAGAATGAAATGCAGAAACAAGAACTTTAAGAGGACTTTACACATGCAGAGACTTAACTTTCGAGATAAGTCTGCCAATGGGTCTTATACCAAGGAAGTCGAGAAGCATGTTTCTTACCGACAAAGCACATATCTGAGGGAGCTTCCTCTATTCTTTCTCAGTTAATGTTTAATGCTATCTCCTTGGCCACAGGGGAACTGGGTGATGGTAATAGCCGCTCCAAACCCCCAGGGATGGTATGTTGGCCTAACAAGACTTACGTAGTTTTAGTCAACTAACTCAGTTAGCGCAACAGTAGCTGGAAGCTGCCTCTCTATGGAGTAATACTGATTGATTTAAGTAGTCTGATTAGCTGCATGGGTAGACTGCTGCTGCTGTTCTCACTATACTAACTACACTATACTACTAATCCTAATTAGGGTAATATAGAATGCAGAAATACCTATGGCATAGTAAGGTAATGCCTGTCGGCAAAACCCATTGCAATCCTTGACTTTCATAAATGATAATGATTAATGAATAGCTTATAGTTATGAGTAGGGCTGATCTGATAAATTATATTATGTAGTGAATTATTTGCCTATGAGAGTATAACACTCATAGTAAAACTCTAGGTATATGTGGGGTTTCCACTATGATTTAATTAATAACAGTTGTTTTCATAGAGATTATTAAAGGTTGGAACAGTCAACAGGCAGTGGTGCTGGCCCAAAGCCTCAAATTATGAGTATTGTGGTGAATAAGTGGTGCCTACTATCTTTGCAGAGATCTCATGAAAGCATCTGCCTGCGCTTTGCCACCAGCCAGGATCTTACCTACGAATGATATAAAATCAAGACTAGTCGACCATCTAGTTCAACTCATCAAACTTCAATTTTGTCTAGATATCCTCATGGCCTACCTTTTCCGAAAACTTTTTGGAGACTCTCCGATTCCGCCCCCAACACACATCAACCTCGCTGTATCAGTCTCATCAACTACGCTCCACAAATATGGTGCTAACACTGAATTCCAACTCACCCTTGGAGCGACTCTTCCTGACACCCCAAGCACACCCAACAAGCCCCTTACCATCCTTGTATTTGACTCACTCCTGGGCCGTAGCGGCAATACCCTCTATGAGGACGGCCTTGACTTTATCGACATCGACACAGGCGTTCCGGCGAAGCGGACAGCCATGATATTTGAGTATAGCTTTGGCGGGAGGTCTGATATCCCCGTTGAACCTCAGTATGAGTATTATTTCGTCACCCTTCACCCCGGCGTGCCTCACCGTGTGACGCGTACCTTAATGCCTTGTCCCAGGATCCGGCGAGACAAGGCAGATAAACCTAAGCGGGTTGAAAATTCGCTGGGGGAGAGAGTTGTAACTGCTGAGGATGAGGACATAGTTGCTTCGATTTTTTCTCATGTCACAAATATGGAGGTGGGGTCAACGTACAGTGTTGAGCTCGGGAATAAGATGAACAAGATATGGTGGTATCGGTATGGAACGAAGGAGGAGGTACTGGGGGAGCAGGGAGCTGGAGGTGGTCCCGCGAAACGACGGCGCGAGCTAGTGGGCGACTGTGAGATGGAGCCAATCCCTCTTATATTGCAGGGTTCTGCTAGTTTCACTGTCGTAGAGTAAGGACCTATAGGATTAAGGGCTTCTGTTGGTCACATTTTATCTTTAGTCAAACTTGTTTTTCCGATATCTAGCTTAAACTGTTGTCCAACAATGATCATGCCAATGTGGATATAACCCCAGGGGAATATAAGAGGACACCTAAAATAATTGCAGTATATCGAACATAGAGCTTCAATAGAGCCTTGCCAATGTAACATCTCGACCTAGCTCATTGAGCGCTTGTTGGCTCGAGTCATACGTCATTGGCAACGACTTATGGAACTCATTGCTGTATAGAGTGCGCTCAAGATGTTAAAGGAGAGGGGGTATCAAGGATCTCTGGCCTCCACTAGAGGGGAAGAGACTGGTAGCGCTTTGAAACTTGAAGCTGCTATATTAATTCTAGAGTAAATTATTAAGAAAAGTGGCTGGCTGTAGAGGAGGCCATTTTTAGTATTACTTTTGGTCATAAGTTGAAATGGAGTGAATGCTTGCTGAGGTTTGTCGCCTCATAATAGTGACTAAATAATCTTAGCAGGTGCAGGATAGTGGTGTGCAGCGTGTGCTTGAGTGCTAAAGCGGTGGCTCACTGAGGGAACTTACATGTGGAAATGCGGCTGTTTATAGCCTCAACTGGTGGTCGTTTTCAGCGTCAATTTCACAGCTCCTCATAGTTTAGGTGGAAACGTTGGTCAACATAACACTGTCATCTACACCCCTGATGACGCTCATTAACTTTCCTTACTCTCGCCCCTATTGCCTGTAGCAAACCACTCATACACTCAGAAAGGCCAGTCTGATAGGGAAACCAAATGCTAACGGCTAATTCCAAAAACATTTCCCGTCACTTGCAACCCTACACCATCTCAATATTACAGTTTTGCGGATTTCTGCATGTTTGATTGCAGGAAATTATTTCCCCCCACTCTTGTCATGATTCTCTGCTTACTGAATAGATTCCCATAGAGTACCTGCTCCTGCTAAAGAAGGGGTTCTGATTCATGGCATAAGACATCCCTGCCGTTTGTTTGTGCTGTCTTACATTCTAATCTGAGACTGCTTTAGGTAGCAAGTGCAACTATCCGTTGACATTTCTAGTGCTACATTCGTGAACAGTGTTCATTCTCTTTCTAGGTAAGGCCTCCCACTTCCAGGCCATAGCATATTGAATGCAAAAAGAAGGGCTATTTCCTGGATCACCCATGTTTGTCCTCTTCTCAATATGGATTCTATTCACTCTTTCGGATTCATCACTCTTTAGCAGTCCCATTCACTGCTCTTAGACTCATTCCCTGATGATCTGACATAAAAGCCGCTTCTTCCTGGGGAATGTCGCCATCTTCTATTCACTATCTTGGACTCTCATACAACCCATTCACCCACTCTCTCCTCCCGGGTGCCCTGCTTGGATCCTACTGTCGCAGTAAACGATGATGTCCCATGGCGGCCGAAAAGTTCGTATAGGGTCACCAAGGCTTTACTGAACGGCGATACATGCTGTGTCCGCGGCTGTTGTTCTGCTTGAGCATGCCTACAACTATCAAATGTATTTAGGACCTGTGCTGTCGTACCAACTATGCATATGGTGATTTTCTCCTGATATTCATCAAGCTTCAAAGCCATTTTTCGCATCCAGAACCCGGCTGAATCAGCAACTCGAAGAAGCATACCTTGGATCATTTGCCATTGATGTTCGAGAACTTACCCTTGAGTGGAAGAAGTCCAGAAATCGCTCTGTGGGCCGAAACCTCTGGAGTACATACTGCGTGCAGCTCGCGTCGAGGAAACCCTAACCACGGAGCAACACTAAAGTGTTGAGAAGATAGTGACGCTGAACAAGCACACTTATTCAATATGAGCACGGTGATCGGATCTTTGGTAAGCGTCTTCCGAACTGCAAAATCTGGCGTGACGAGGCTGAGCGCATTGCCAGGCAGAAGTAAGTTCTCTTCAAGCATCCGTTCTGCTTATCTGAGCTGATGAAGTGCATTAAAGCACTGGGTGCTTGAAAATGGTCGGCGAGATGTGCCTTAAATTCTGCTGCGTTCGAAACGATAGTAATTGTTCACTTTCTTATTATTATTTTTATTTCCCCCCCCCCCTTTCTTGCAATGGATGAGCCTTGATTGTCGGACCAGTAGGCCTTGGCTGTATGGTCGTAAGTCTATTCCACTCCCTATTCTATTTCTTTTTGCTGGGGCCTGCGCTAATTGCATATGGCACTCAAAAGGCGTACAATGTGAGTTTTACGGTGGCAAGTCGGCACATTGGGACAGCGAAATGGATATGTGTGTACATCCTTCTGGCCTCTCTGTATTTTTTCGTTCTGTACTAATTTCTGTAGGACGGTTCTTCAGCAAGGTGGCCTCTGGGCCCTCGACGATGGCGATCACGTCAAAGACTGGCCTGTTGACGACTCCGCTGACAGCGAAAATCCGACTGAACAAACTGCTCCTTCGATCGTTAATTCTTCTCCAATCGCAACTGAATTTCTGCTGCTAAGGCGCTAACCACCCTGCCGGTATGGGTCACAGTAATCTGTGGTGAGTGGTCTTCACTCCAGACTTCCTTTCAGCAGAGACCTTGGACTCTTCTAATCATGTTGTATTTGAGAAATTCCCCTTGGCTTACAGCTCCCATGTTAACCCCTCACCCTACTAATCAGGGCTATGGCAATGAATGGAACACATGGTAAGATGGTGTATTAATGCCAAGTGCGAATGGGTATACCAGGGACTACTCAATCCGACAGAGGGAAGACTCCTTGACATAGGAGTAGGAACTAGTATGTCCTTTGCTTCGTGGTTTAGTGTTACCTAGTGTGCTAATATTTAATTGCAGGGTTTCGTGGGTTCATAGGACAACGATACCTTCATTCATCAAAGGAACCTGATGTGTTCATTCTTCCCGACACCACTCCTACTGGCTGAGGAAACAATGCAAGGATAACCGGCTTCCATTGACGCAAATCAAAAGACACAACAGGTCATCGGACTCCCATGTCCACGGGGAGTCTACCGCAATTCACCATATGCGGCGACGCAGCCGTAGTTAGCGTACTACAGCCGATCCCTATGCAATTCCCAGATGTTTGGACCAATTCCGACTTCATCGACATCCCTGAAGAAGAATGGATGCGGATACCGATGAAGGATGGCTGGGTGGACCGCCTAAGAAAGAGCTCTAAGCGATACCCCGCCAATAGTACCACTGGGCTAAAAAGGTGTCTGGACACAGATCAGTCCTCTGGTCTCCAAGCGCCTGCATTTTATCCAGACATCTCGGCCCAGGGCCGAAGAAGCCACGTGCGAGATTACAGTCTTGCGTGACATGGGACAATTCGGTGCGCGACACCCTAACTACTCCTCTCCAGCGACTGCTTCACGAAAAGAACGTATCGAACGGACTCAGCGCAATAAAGGCACTAATAGATATCCTGGATGGGGCGAATCAGGTCGAAAAATTCGACTCATCCTGGGTGAGTGTTCCGTTCGTGACGCTGGCTTGTCGTTCTCTTGTCTGTAGTACTGACATCGGTCGAGCGCTATTCTATCAACCCTAGACAAAAAGAAGCAGAAAGAATACCGCGAAAATCATACAATCGCACTAGACGAGGGCCAAAACAGAAAATGCTGCCGAATATCCGATGGTTGTCACCCAGAATGCTTGTGGCCGGGTCCCGCAGGTTGAGTCTTCGTCGAGCGGCTCTTCGGAGTTTGATAGGGCTTCCCCAGTCCCAGTATACCTTCCTGCAAGACTTTGACGAGCCACACAGCCATTCATACAGTGATTTTTTCCCACAGCTCCGAATTCTTGTGTCGCCAGAATGCTAGCCAGCCACGGACAGGCACACCTGGAGATCCACAATACGCTTATCAGGAGGCTCACGGCCATGAATAATCTGCTATCGGCTGTGATTGCTCGGCCAGGGATTCCTATTTTCTTCTTGATGCCCGAATGTCAGCGGTTCCTCCAGAGCAGCAAAACAAGAGAATTTTCTATATCAGGGAACATTCCCCCCTGAATGAGGCTCACCCTCAAGCATTCTTGAGGTCAACGTCTGAGATCACCTGCGGTGTCAACCTGCAAATCGCCGAGGGGGTGTGTGAGGCTATCGGGAATCTATTGATGTTTCGCTTATCGGCCCGGCTAGCTATTATCTAGGCATGAAAATTTGACCTGGATATCGAAAGGAGTGCCCTCAGTCTTCTTCCTTCATACCGATCTTCTTTCATCACACCCTCAATCTTCTTTCTTTGTGCCCTCAGTTCGGTGGTTCCTGTGCCAATTGTTGGTGGCATGGTCGGAGCAGCAAGTGCGAGTACTATTTGGGTCGCAACGGTCAATGGAATTTCGATGACGATGTGTAAGTTTCTCTTTGGTCGAATCTCCTTGAGATCATTGCTTATTCGCATAGGGCGATTCTTCAGGCCGGTGGGCTGAGAAAGCTTTCGAGCGACGGTCCTGTTTTTACAGCCATGCCTCCGACCGAAGTTGCTGATGACCCCTCCGATCATCAGTCTGTAGAGTCTGATCGAACTCCTCGCAAGTCTATCGCCGCCCCACCGTCGCCTGGTGTTGCTCCCGAAGCTCCTTCTGCCGCTGATACCGGTCGAGTTCGTCTCATTCGGTTCTTCTGTCGGACCCTGGATATCGGAATCGTCTACAAGCTTCAGGACATCTCGGCCGCCTGGAACAGGCAAGACAAGAACTGCGGAAATCATCCTCCTCTTGCTTATAGAATTGGACCCAAAGGTCCTGCTTATCGCTGGCTCAAATAAGGGCATCAACAATCTTGCGGATGCTGTTATTGCAGCTCCGAGTAAACTCTTGACAGCAGGGGTGGTGTGTGACCAACTAGATGAAATCATGGAGAATCATACCATTCAGTGAGTTGATTACATCAACCATGAGTGTTTCCGAGCTGACTTTCCAGGAAAAATTACAATGCGGCGATGAGCACAGCGTGGGAAGGGCTGATGTCACAACTCCTTTACCGACCCGAATTGGACAGAGTACTCCTTACATACAACTTCGTCTTATCAGTCTAACAGCAACTCATGAGCAGGCATAATTGGACAGCGAAGATGAGTCTTACTTTCTCTCACCTTATGTTTTTTCTGTCTCCTTAACTCCTCATCTTCTCATCTTCCCTCTAATTATCTTCTCATCTTGTCATCTTGCTTTCTTATCATCTAGTCCTCTGGTCCTCTTATTATCCTATTATTCCATTATATTGCCTTCCTCTTCACTTCCTATTGTATTCTGTCTCTCCCATCCCCTCATCCCTATCTGTCTCCTACTTAATGTGCTGGGTAAGCACTATCTCCTAGGCTTTGGTTGTTTTATAATTTAAGCTTACACCCTAATTTACCCCTTTCCAGAGCACTCATCATCATGCCTCCTCACTGATACATAAAGGAATGGTGGATTTAAAAGTTCCATGACTATCTAAGCAGGAGGTGCGCTTGCCCTACTACTAGAGAACTAGATACTCTTGCCCGCTTTCACTGTAAAGTGAAGAATATCAACATCTGATCACGCGAGGGCGGCGTCGTCGGCAAAAAATTGTGCAGACGACATCATGGATAAGGTTCTCTGGGCCTTCAAGGGCTAGCCCGTCAAAATCCACGCACCATCGCTCGTCAATAAGCTACATGGCGGGACAGCAATCATGGGAACCAGACAGCAAGGTTCATACATAGTATGTTTCAGGAATCAACCCGTATACGCGACAGGCTATAATTGGGACACCTTATGTGGTGAATCACCTCGCTACGCAGTAGCCTACTTTAGCATCATCGTCAATGAATACCATCATCCAACCATATACAAGGGCCTGCCACCACAACAATCCTTCAGTACTGATGGAGAGCGCCCCATCAGAGACCCAAAGCAAGCTGGCCAGCGATACCCGCTGGTGGCTGAATGCTTCTGGAGGAAAAGTACAACTGTCCAGGTCATACCATTCGTTTGATCTTGCTGGGTCCGATCTGCATATCGAAGAAGAGGCAACGTACCTTGAAATCTGTGAAGCACTGGAATCAGAACCTTTATCATCTGCTGCTCAGTCAAGCAACTACCATTTGACCAAGTGTTACCACCATCAGATAAAACCTGTCTAAGTGGCACTTAGGCCGGATGGTTGGGAGGGTGCGCAAGCACAGCCTTTGTGCCACTTTTCCTTTGTTTATGTATGTAGCTGTTGTTTTTTCCCGCGCCTTTTGGAGACGTCTCTCACATGTTCACGTTCGTCCGAAAGCACCATACAGCGAATTGAGGCAAGTCAACTGACCAGCCAGGGAGGCAGAACGGGATCAGGCAGGAATATTCCATTCATCAGTGGACTGGCGCTAACCGCCTCTCGTATAACTTTTAAAAGGCGAGACATGAACTAATATGTATATTAACCTATACTAACATTCCTATAGAGAGCGGCAGGGTAGATCCCGCAACTAGGTTGCAGAGCAGCTTGGTATTACTAAGGACAGCATCTATGCCACCTGCGATGACGGTAATTCAGCATGGGAGTGTAAGACTGAGACAAACTCATCCATCCAGGAGAGGCGCAGGCGCCAGGACAACATTTGGAGCTTTGGGCCTAATGTAATACTAAATGTTCAAAAACAAAAGCTGGAGGAACACTACAATATTACTGAGACGTCTAGAGCTCAGTATATGAAGAATCACACATGGCGATGGTGGTCGGTGTACTGGAAGGAGGCCATCTATAACTTTATTATGAGGGTGCTTGAACTGCGCAAAATTTCCAAAGGGAAGATCCTCGCAAAGCTTGGATTTCTAGGTCTCAACCTTGTGTTTTTCTTGTTCTGAAGCACAAAATGGAAGATGGAACTAACGATCTGCATTTCATATGTATGAACTCTTCCTGGCTGTCGAATGAAAGTCTGCTTACTGTACTTAGCTTGTTAGTGCTTTAGTTTCGAGGTCCGAATTTCTTTTCCTCTCTAGGTGACGATTTGCTTGGCTGGCTTAAAGTACACTTAACCACAGGATTGTGGCTAAAGATGCCGAACACGGCGTCGTTTTGGCCCCTAGATTCTACTGGAGGCACTTCCTGGAGCCAAAGTTGAAAGGGCTACTCTGCAGGAAATATCCACGCTGGAACGTGGAATCAGATGATACATCTGTTGTGGTTGGTGACTCTGCCCTCTCAGCGGGATCTTACTCGGCGGTTCGATAGGGCAGATATCTAATGGCGTACTACAAGGAAACAGCCAGCATGGGGTGGAGTGATGCTTCGAGGGTGTCCAGCGCCGTTTCGGGGGATTCGAGTATTCCCATACACCTACGAGAATTGGAGTTAATGCGTATAGTAGACTGCTTGCTGCAGCCAGCAACTTGAGCCATCTGGGAGGTAGTCAGTGGATTATGATTCATATGATGAATAATCTCAAGTCGAGGAGATTTCAGATTCAGCGCCGTTTTGCTTGATGCAATGGGCAGTGATGGCCCTGTAAAAAGCCGTTCGTTTATGCTGCGTGGGCGGTTGGGAACCTGTGAGGTTGGTCAATAATATCCTTATGCGGCTGTGACATCCAGAACTACCTGTATATCTGCCCGATGCTTCTCAGTCAAGAAGTCATATATTTTTGCACAAGTAGCTCAAGCAAGAACACATAAATTATTGGTCCGCTGTCCGCATAGAATAGCAAGCAGTGGCGCAGACAAGCCAATGCATGAGTTGGCCGAATCAGCCGCCAAGAACAAATTCAGCCTTGCACAGCACACAGACTGAACAGAACCCAAGTTCTTCTGACAATATTTGATTCTGGACATTTTCACATCATATAGCTGTGCTTAATCGGCAAGTTCTTGAGGTGTTTTATTGTCTTCGGCAGCCTGGTTCACTTGATGGATACTACTGGCACTATGCGCCGCCTTGGACAGCCGCAGCTGAACGAGATGAAGCTGCTTGATCCGACCGATACCTCATTTATCAAGCAGGCAAAGAGTGCCTGGTTCTGTGTATGTCATTCCTATCATGTGTATGCATTCTCTGAATTTTGGATGTTAATAATAGATGACGATACAGTGCGACACCACCTGCCGTACTTTCAACCAAGCAGAGAACAAAATATGCTCAAGATGTGGCAGTGAGAGATGTCCAGAATGTCAGGCTCCCAGAAACACTTCGTTCCCATTCATCACGTACACCTACATGTATATCTGTGTAAGTGTCATCAGATCTTATGTTGTGGCAATCATATACTCTGAGCTTACGTTTCCCAGTGCCAGTGTGGTGATGGCCCAAATGTTTACAATGCACAGCCAAGATGTACTCATTGTGACCATATAGCATGTTCGGACTGCAAGCCGGTCAAGTAGGCTACATGGAACAAGGGAGTAGGGACAGGGCAAATGCACTGAGATATTCTCTTTCAATCCTATCTAACGGGTGTTCACATCAAGCTGTAGACTTCCTCAAACAAGGGAGCAGAATCTGTGATCCAAACGCCACAGCAACAGTCAGGCATGTCAGACATACGACCGAGACCCAGTATTTCCACCAGGCGACCTCATTGGCGACTTGATTCATGCTGAATGCGCCCTACAATTTTGTTAGTGCTCCGGGATTCCAGCCAGGATGGCACTGGATAGGCGCAGGATCGGCAGACCGTCACGAGAGTCACAGGTAGATAGACCTTGAAATAATCTCAGCTCGGTTATAATCTTGTTGGGGGGGCAGCAAACCTTACAATGGTGATATAAGTGAGGAGTCTGATATTGTTGCCTTGGCGGGTGGCTGTGATACTTTCTGCAAGCGATGAGGCATTGACCAACTTATATGCGTATGAGTCATTTATAAGTTATGTGTCGAGCTGGTGAGAACTGCTACTTACGACGCCAGACATCTTCTCCATAATCTCGATGCGCTGTTCAAGTATCATCCTCAAGGCCTCGAGCTCGGCGGTGTCTTGACGCACCTGAGTGAAATAGTGGCGAAACTTGTCCTGTAGAGGGCCATCCGCGTCAAGATCGAAGTAAACTGTATTGTTGTTGTCGAATGCGATCAGCGCGGCTATAACTCGTGCTAAACCATTCCGAAGACGACGCAGGGTGCAAAGTATCCACGTGTACTCCTTAGTTTTCTTCAAAGTTGGATCGTTCTCGAGAAACATATTCAGATTTTCCTGGTCTATTTCCCCCTGTGCGCGAAGTAAGCTTGTCACAGCTCCTCCTGTACATAGTGGCTGAAAGAAAAGGAAGGTGTCTCACATGCCGATCCAGGACGCTCTCCAGCGACTGGACGAGCACTGTCCATTCCAACGTGATCTGGCCCGTCCGCGTCGCAAGAATCGACAGAAAGTAGTACCTTGGATCCCAAATGGGAAATTTGTGCATTCTCCTACCAAGTGAAGGTCCATCTACCTCATCCTGCAGGCAGTTCGCGACCAGATCCTGGTTGCTAAAGTACGTATCTTCGCAGAAATAAGCCGTCCAGAAGAAATCATCGACCCCAAACACTATCAGCGAGAGTTGACTCTCATATATGCAATCTTGCTTCTCTTCGCCGGGAGGCCTAAAGTATCGATGTTTGCGCAGTCCCCGGGAATCGCGAAGATCGGGTCGATCAGGTCGCAGGGCGTAGTAAGGCAGGTGAAATTCCAACACAAAACCTCGATCCTTATGAGTCAGATGTAAATCATAGAAATTGAGTCGTGTACATAGTGAATGTCAATCTATAGCCACCTGAGAAATGCCCATATAGGACTCAAATGCTACATGTCTCGAAAGAAAGGATCGTAGTTCCGGAAGATGAAAGTAGGCGACCGCTGAGATCAAGGCCAAAGTCATCAAAGGAGTCAGGTTGGCTATGTATCTGCAGCTTTCTCAGGACAGACACGAAGCAGGCTCGAGGGAATGAGAAACTCACACTATTCTCCGTTCTGCAACACCCTTTCGCTGTTCTCACGTAAGTGCAAGCGAAAGCAATGGGGAAACAAAGAACACATTTTGCATACGTTCTTTTGCAGGTTGATGTGCAGTGTTTCAGCATCTGCGCCATAAACATGAATGTGCAGCCCCTCTGGAGGACGTTGCATATAACCGTCTGATTCCCACTGCCTGAGAGGCAGAAATCTCGTGCCGCTTGGGAGTGAGACGCTCACACAGGGATCGCATCGATCATCAATCATCGCGAGTATGCGTTTGTCAGTAGGAAACGATCTAATTGCCTCGGGAAACGAGCGAGCTCCGGTTCGTTCCAAGAAACGTCTGAGGAGCTCGTAACGGCGAGGAGGAATGAAGTCGAGTGAGTAACAAGTCAGAAACTCGTCAATCATTGAGCCCCCAGGGGGACATTTCAGGCGATTATCTTGACCATGGTAAAGTGTCACTTGACGAATGGCAAAGTCCCTTTTCCACTGTAGACGACGGAAAGGTTGGCGATGATGAGATGCAGACGCTTGATCCATCGATCTCCAGCGACGATATCTTCAAATATCGTAGTCTTAGTGACCGTGTGCCTCTCATGAAACAAACCGGTTGTTAAGATTCTGTGCTTTGTTTTCGTTTTCAACGAAGCATTTTGTCAATGCCTCGCTCAGCCTCGTCGAAATCCCTGCAAGACTGATTGGTAAATATTGGAGCCTTTTCAGCGCCACACACTCTCCGCCACAGTCGCCTTCTTGTTGTCCTTAATTTCTTTTTCATGATCAGCCTGGTTCTGTCAGCCTTGCAATATCATCGGGCCGCCGCCGCCACGCTTGCTAGCCATATTTCAGCATTCATGGACTTTGAGATCAAGCATCTTAGGCAGTAATCTTACAAGGAGCACCCCTTGGCGTTATCAGCGGTAAGATGGGTATTCCGGTTTTCATAATTGCACTAAAGTGGTGCTCTTGAGAGCTCAAGAGGTGGCCTTGAGTTTTCATAATAATTGTCAAGCGATTGCAATAGGACAAGCATAGTCGGCTTCGACTTTCCAGGAGCCTGGCATATCGTGATGATCAGGTGCTCAAGTACTCTGTTATCGAATGGCTTAGGGGTGACTTTTCGTGCTCCTTCTCTTGAAGAGAAATTTCCTTACATGGTGTCAAATGAGCGTGGCACTCATGGATGGGGCTTAATCTTTAGGTTGAGGAGAAAGACCCGTAATGCGTCGACGGCAAGCTCTACGACAAGCAAGACGATAAGGACGCTCAAAATACCAAGGATATGTATGGCTTTCATTCAACATCTGAGACTCAAGTAGGAAGTGTTAAGACCAATGTCCTAAGAAGACCGGGGGTGTCAACTCATATTGCATCGCCGCCTTGCTCTTATTGCACCTGACACCAAAGTCTACTGCATATCTTGAGATTATCTGGATCTGGGTGACAGAATGACTAAGATGTAATCACGCAGGATCAGATTGATGTATACTTGGCCTGTGGTGTATTAATTACGAGTAAGCTGGCATGACTATATGGAAAAGCATCTGAGCACATTGTACTTAACTAATATTAGCTCTCTGGTGCTCAGAACATTCTCATGGCTATGATGCAGATGGAGTTTCTCGACTTTTAGCCTATTCCCCTGGCTCCAACACTATTTAGCACCAGCATCTTCCCAAGTGACCCCCTATTTGATGGCTGCTAAGCGGGTTCTCTTACCTGTGACCTTTCCTGGGCTATACAAACCCTTTAATCCTCTTCTATCGATACGCTTGGCAGTGGCTTATATATTTAGTTTTCTAACTATTTATAAGAGACTAAGAGTGCTTGAAGACTGAAAGCTATCAGGCATATGGCTTTAATATTAAGGAGAGCTATAATATCTAGATCTATAATCTCCGCATACATGTAATTATAGAGATGATAACATATTAAGTCTATTCTGACCTATGCTAAAAATAACATGAATAGTTTCTTAGCCTCTGATCTAGTATATCTTATAATGCAAACTATACTCCCATCGCTCTCAATGCCTCGGGTCCATCGAAGGTCTATTACTTGAGGGAATGTAAATTTTAATTTGGGAAGTATAATCGCATGTCGATCGATGAACTTATATCACTATACCTCGCTCAGCCACCAGTTCACGACATGTGTAGTCTTGCTCTCCTATGTAATCATCTAGGAGGAGAGCTCCCTACTCTTATAGGCCCGAAACAAATCAGCCGAATACATCCACCCCCTCCCCTCCTTAATATCAACCGCCTTGATCTTCTCAAATTCCCTCTTCCACAAACTGCGCCACCCCCGCGGTAAATCGGAGTTATGTTCACCTATGCAGAAGAGGACATACATGGCGATATTGTTTTTCGCAATCTCCTCTGTATCCGTGAACACAGCGCGGAGACTATCCGGTACCTTGAAGGGGAGTACTATGCTTTCACCGCTGGGTAATGTGCTTCTCATGGATACTGCGGCTAGATATCCACTCGCAGATTGTGTCTGGGTCATTGTCAGCGAGGGCTTGATTTCATTTGATTTGGTGGTTTGAACAGGCAGTGCAGTGGGTTTACCATCGAGTACTCGGGCTCATGCCATCCTTTGCGACGACAGACGTCTGAGAGGACGTGGATCGGCATCCCTGTTGATGCGGGCGCGTGGCATTCGCAGCCGCAGCTGCAGCTGCATTCTTCGGAGGTATCCCGGGGTGGGATGGATGGTGGTCTGGGGTTCTTTTGTTTGGTCTTTTTCTGTGGCATTGGATGGATATAGGATAAGTTGATTCTGAGAGAATCTTGCAGTTCTTTATGAGCTCGTGTGTTCTCGTTTGAGTCACGGCTGGGGCTGAGCAAGCTTGGCGATATTGTGGTACACCACGGGCAGTCTCGTATTACCACGTGGGTTTAAGGTTTCCTTGGCTTCCAAAGCAGGGGTACAGATACTAATTGTAGGCTGGAGGCGGCCTGACTGAGGACAGTTTTGATTGTACTGATAGATGACCATGGAAATTACAAGATGAGAAGATTCCTCACTGTGGAATTTGGATGCACGGCTGTGCATGTTGCCGATATAACTGGCGAGCTTATCCAATATGATATGTTTATTCATAGTACATTATATGGTTATGTATCTTGACTTTGTGGGTGATCCGAGAGCTTCTTTGCCGTAACCACCTGAGTATCAAGGATCGTCCAGTTTACCACATCCGATCCATATTCATCTGATTCAACACATCAAACAACCCGTAATCAACCGGTAACGAGTCCAAAGCAGGAGGCAACCCCAGCGCCGACGGCAGACCTTCTGCGTACTGAGGTAGAAAGTCCGTGGTTCCCCCGTTCACAAAATCAAAGCCCATGGACGGAGCTAATAGATCATCTCCAGTCTGCTGCAGCTGGCCCTCTGTCTCACTCCCTGGGAGTGTCAGATTATACCTCGCACTTAACAACCGCCGCAGATTATTCCCAATACGCCGCGCAGGCTGCCACGAGCCCGCCAGCTCCTCGAGAACGCCCACGCATACCTCCAACCGGCTCTTCTGCGACGGAAGCATGTCCTCCCCGCTGATGTCCTCGAGTAACACCATCGCCGCGGAGAGCGTGCAATGCATCGCGGTTATGGGGCTGAGATGGAAACTACCAAACTGCTGGCGGTATTTCTGGGCGATGGTGCAGATGGCGCGGGCGGAGTCGGCGGAGACGGATTTTGCTTGTGTTTGTATTTGTACTCCTACGTTGGCGTCTGTATCGCTGGAGGCAGATTGATGCCTTATGGTGAAAGGTTTGGCCAAAAGAATTCTAGCAGTGTGGTAGACCATGTGCAAGGCATATGCGTGCGGGAGATGATTTGGCTGGTCGATCCGGAGCTCTGGAGGGAGGTCGTAGAGCCAGGTTTTTAGGTCCAGAAGACAGGATTTGAGAAAGGCGGGTCGTTGGCGTTGGTTCAGGGTGGGCTTGGGACCCCACCTGCTGTTGTCAGTTTCGTCGCTGTGTTGCGGTGGGAGACGTACAAAGACATGAAGATCTTCTCGTGAATTTGGCAGATCTGGATCAAAGCTGTCTGTAGGGAGCGAATGGCGCGCTGCCGGGGAGATGATGGCTCTGCATGACTGGGTAGGTTGACGGCGCCTTGGACGTCCTGGGTCTAGGTATTAGTGGGAGTGTGGGATCAGACATGGACGAAGGAACGAACCAGCATGGAGCAGACGCGCCCTGTATAGCTCGCAGAAAGTTTGTCGTGACAGTATAGAGTCCAGTAAATCTGCCGCCGGAGTTGTATTTCCTCAGGACACATACTCACTGCTCTGTCGAAAGCAGCCGGGTCCAGGTTGAGTCCCATGTCAAGACTCAGCCTGTTCGCCATGCCGTGGTGCAGCCACCCGGCTGCATCAGCGCCTGTGGCCTGGATAGACAATCAGTTATCGCCCAGAAAGACGTAGGAAACTCACAATGTAAAACATCCCAACGAGGCCTAATGCCTGGATGGTCGTCAGGCTTGGCCGTTCCATTTCCCGATGAAGTAGAGTCTTGGCCTGTTCGAAGAAGAAGCGACCGGCCGTGTTGGGGTCGTTTGCGTCGGTACGGGTTTCGACACGGTCAGAGTACCGTGACCCCATGGCGAGAATGCTATATAGAAGCAGGGGAGTGAAATAGCGACCTCTGTGTGCCATGCTGTGGCGGAAGAGATCCTCGTCCACGATTTGGTACCATGGTTGCTCCCAGGTGAAGTACAGGTCGATCAAGTGAGATTCCAGCTCTGTAGGAATGAAAGGTTCGTACGCATTTGATGCAAAAGGCTCAAGTTCAACGCGAGCCTTTGATCCTTCCTCTGGCAGGGCACCTGAGGCAGCGAACTGAAGACGTCCACTCGTCGGCCCAAAGAATCGCATCTCGCCGTCGTCGTCGAAATTAAGAGATTCATCGAGCGCAAGACATCCCTTGAATTGATCGCATAGAGCCTGCAGATACGATGTAACTTCTGCAGCATCCTCCTCGAGTGACTTTTCCGCGTCTGGATCGATCCCGCGCTTGGCCAGAAACTCCTCGAGAAATTGTATGCGCTGGCGAAGCAAGTCCACGTAGAACTTGGATGCAGGACGTCTACCATCCTCATTTGAGGAGTATTGGCAGGAGATACTCCATTGTACACAGCGAGAGCAGGATGGTTTTTGTCCGTCGCACTAGCAGGTCAGAACCGTCAGATAATGGAGTCTGAGGGACTAATGCATGTCACACCTTTGCTCGACGACGACGACATTCCTCGCATGCTTTGGTGGTATATTTCCCTCGGGATTGTTTCTTTTCAGCCGGTGGCATCTTCACCCAACGTTAGTCTGTTGTGTAAAGTCGAGTTACATCAGATTCAATCTCATGATAACTTAACTCCGCATTATTAATCAAGTGTCGTCCCCCATCTCATATCACCGCTTATTTCCACACGACAGATACACCAGCACCATTCATTCATTATCTCATTTTATCACTAGAAATTCTACGGTACATGCGCCACAACCTCAATCTCAACCCTCATATCATCCTCCCCCAGCCTCGTCACCCCCACACACGTCCAAATAGGCTCATGCCCCGGAACCCACTTATGGAAATTCCGCACCATAGCCTCCAGCGCCTCGTCATTGATCGGAACATGGTACGAGTTCACCCGGTACACCTGGCTCCAGCCCTCGCCTCCTGCGTTCCGTAGATTCATGTCCACGTTGGCGAAGGCTTGGTCGATCTGCGCGTTGATTTCGCGGGGGATGGTTCCTGTGCTGGGGTCCCAGCCTCCTTCATATTGATCAGTATGGCCCAGTGAATATGAGTATGTGTATTGGGGGGAAGGGGGAAGGGGATACCCTGTCCGGCGCATTCGATGCGGTCGCCGACGCGGACAGCTTGGCTGTATTTGAATTTGGATTGGTTGGCTTTTCCGACGCCGTCGTAGTTGTAGTATGTTAGGTGGGACATTTTGTTATACGTTGTATTGTAGTCTGGCCGGATGAGGACTGAGCAGAGTGAGATGGCTTTTATATATTTGCATTGGTCTGTAGCGGAATATGTATTCCGCTGCGTATTCCGCTGCGTACTCTGCTGTGGATGATGTCATATATGTTGAAAACATCTAGACATTGATTAAAGAAGTTATCTAGGTCGTAAATCGTGAGTAGGGATGATCTATGATATATACATGCAATGCAATCAGGTATCAATATGAAATCAATGAGGAACCCCGCCAGTTCCAAACAGCTCCAGCTTCACCCGGTCCGCGCTCACGCCCTTGGACTTGAGAACATTTAGCATATCAGTCATGAATGTGTCGGGTCCGCAGACGTAGTACTCCGTCGTGGCATCATCCAGGAACAAGTCCTGGTTGCCATCCAACTTGCTCAGATCCACACGGCCGCGGTACTGGTAATCCTCGCCCTCCTTGTCCTCCTCTGTGGGGTGGCTGGTGAAAAAGGTCGATTTGAGGTTGGGCAGCTTCTTCTCGAGGGTGGTGACGTGGTTCTTGAACGCACGCGCCTGTGCGTTTCTAGCGCCGTGGATGAAGCTGACTTTGCGCTCGGGGGACTCGGAGGTCAGAGTGTTGAGAATCGATGTCATGGGGGTCAGACCAACGCCAGCTGAGATGAGAACAACGGGGTTGGTGGCCTTGGCGTCGGAGAGGAAGAAGTCGCCGTACGGATGGGAGACCTTGATGGTGTCGCCCTCGTTGATGAAGTCGTGCAGGATGTTCGATACGTAGCCCGGGTGCGCCTTTGCGCCGGGCTCGGCGGGGTTCAGTCCAGGCTCCTTCTTCACGCTGATGCGGTAGTAGTCTGACCGGTGCATGTCGCTGAGAGAGTACTGGCGCGCCTGGAGGTAGTTGAGCTCGGGGACGTGGGTCTGCACGGAGATGTACTGTCCTGGTCGGAAGGCGGGCAGAGGCTTGCCGTCCACCGGCTTCAGGTAGAAGGAGGTGATTTCCGAGGATTCAGGGACCTTTTGCGCAACAACAAAGTCGCGGAAGTCGGTCCAGCCTTCGGCTTGCTCGTAGAGCTGGGCCTCGCGGCCGATCATGATGTCGGCCAGCTGCCAGTAGGCGGTGGCCCAGGCGTCGAGGATCTCCGGGGTGAGGGCATCGCCCAGGACCTGGCCCATTGCTTCCAGCAGGAACTTGCCAACGATCTTGTAGTCGTCAGGCTTGATGTATAGCGAGGCGTGTTTGTGGCAGATGAGCTCGACGGCGGGTCCAAGAGCGCCCAGGTTGTCGATGTTGGAAGCATAGGCGAAGAGAGCGCCGGCCAGAGCACGAGCCTGGTGGCCGCTGACCTGGTGGGCGGTGTTGAAGACATTATGCAGCTCGGGATGGGCGGTTAGCATGTTCTTGTAGAACACTGATGTGATGGTTGTTCCATGCTCCACCAGCACAGGCACGGTGGCCTTGATGATTTGAACTTGTTCCGGTGTTAGAGGCATGATATGCGATTGAATGTGTTGTGATCCTAGTAATTTGAAAACTGATTATTGTGACAACTATCAAAGGCACAGTCGACGTCCAAATCTGCAGTATTTATACACAGCGCCACTTGCTGGTCCGTACGGTCGTGCCATATTGAAAATTTTCTCATGATCCCTTTTTTTTCCCGCAGCCGACGTGATGGCAATGACATCTCCGCGGAGGCTTTGGTATGAGAGGTCAGGAACATGCAAAGTCGAGTTTGGTAACGGAGGAATCAGCATGCAGGAATAATTTGATAAGCAAACAGACTCCACCAGCCAGTACTCTTGCTGAGAGTCAGTTTCACTACCAGCTACCAAGAAGCTGTCGATCATGTTTATCACCGTTATCAAGACGATAGTATCCAATAGTCGAGAAATGAATCCTGCACGGCATTGCTCGACTGCACAAGCATTCTCCAGACTCCAGATGGTCTACTTCCCTGCTACTCCGTATCCATCGCCCCATACTTCAAGTTCCTTATTAAACGTCGTTTTCGATTGGTCTCTCACACTTAATTGCCGTTACTTAATAATTAGTAACCGAATAACCTAATGTCAGGCCACTTGCGAGCGGATCCCGGCGCGAGGATTTTTCGGACCGGTGACGTGGGAATATGTCGGCGCCGAGTACGGCCGCTACGGCGGACCGTGAACTCTCTCTGTGTTCACCTTCTGAGGGTGACTTGTAGAATATGCTAGCATTCTTAGCAGGTACCAATTCTCTATAGTTCTTAATGTAATATTTAGATTGAATTACTTGGAGAGTTCCTAATAGTCTCACATAGGTGTTAGCGCCTCCGGGTGGCCCAAGGTAACTAGATGTTCTGACATGGGAACATGGCTGTGGAAGCCGAAGAAAGCTTAGCGCCGTGGTGCTCGTCCCTTATTGCCAACCAGAGCTTAGCGTCTACAATATCCTGGGTAGGTAGCAAGTGAAGCAGTTCTACCGATTGTTGTTCGTCATGGCTCTCAACCATCTTATATGTACCAAGAGTACTAACCTAGCGTTCAGGTTGCCGTAGAATAATACATGAAAAGCAAGGTCTTGACGTGTCAAGACGGTAGCTCAATCAGAGGACGCGGTTGATTTCTTGAGCTTTGCCGTTCATGATCGATTGCTCCTGGGACTGAATCAGGACAGAGTAGTTCATGATCCTCGTGATGTGATCCTCCTGGGGTTGAATCGGGATAAGGTAGCTCAGCCTTCCCTCTCCATTCCGGGGGCATAAATCCACCTGCATGAGATGGTGCTCTTTTCCTCAGTAATACAATTCCAACAATGAGCGTCAATCCTATAATTACAAGACCCCCAATCACCCCTCCGACTATAGCACCTACCGGGGTCGTTGACTTTGCCGTCCCTACCGCGGGTTCAGGTGTTGTCGATGTCGACGTTGCAGGATCTATAAAACCGCTCTGCTTCGTCGACGTCGGGGTAGAGGTTGTGGTTTTGGGGGTAGTCGTCGAGCTTGAAACTTGCTTCGATGAAATATTGAAATAGTGACTGCTGAAACGTGTCGAGCCCGGGTCGCTGCATAACCCGTACATATAGTAGACGCCGGGGCCTGAAAGACCCATGGAACTAACAGTCCATGCTAATGAGCCATTGTTGGGAGTGTCTGCTCATGTCAACAGCCGTGCCGAGATCCAGGTCCGGTACAGAACAGTCTCACCTGCAATTTGACTACACCGCGCATCACTCTGAAACCGACAGTCGCCGCCATTGTAGTCCTTCATCAACCAAAGCTGAATAGACCCGTCGCAGCCACTTTGCCACTTGATGTCAATCGACTGCCCGACAGTAAAAGCTAGATTCGATATGTATTCGCCGGTGTAACCATTCTGCGGTGGAAAGATGAATACATCTGCGAAGCTTTGCCGTGGGCACGCAGTTAATATGAAAACAAAGTGAAATACAAGGAGTCTGGTCATGTAGCAGATTCCCCCGCTACGTCGCTTGAATCGCATGATTATCTGCCTTGAATAAACAAGTTGGGATGGGATGGGGATGTCGAGAAGAGGAAAACATCGGAACCATAAATAGGTCCTATGTGAACTTGGGGACATGCAGTCAATTGCTTAGACTAGTTGGCCTGAAAGGCTGAAACTGCGGGGCGCGTATTTGCTGGGTGCAGTGCCCCTGGAATGCAGCCCAGCAGCAGCGAACGCCCATAGACAAGGACCTTCGAGTGATTGGAATTGGGATGGTGCAAGAAGCGGCTACTCCGTAAGCATACGCTTATGCCTTGGTTCTTAGCCGAACATCGCCATGGCGATTAGTACCTGACCAACAGCTACGCCAGTCTGGTCTTGTACTCTTCCCAAATGATGTCGGCCTGGCGGCGGGTTATACTCGGACGGTCAGACCGCTTCATCGAAGCGGGCAACCGCAGATAGCTGCTTGTATTGCAGCACATGGTGTAGAGCTTGTGCGATGCCCAAAAAATGTTGCCGATCTGCATATCATTAGGGGCTTGGATTCCAGTAGTCCACATGTGCTGATTAAAGGGAACAAGAGCAGTAGTTACGCCAGGACCAGGTACTAGATGGACTCAATTGGCGTCTCCTAAGTATTTTCCTCCATTCATCAGCAAAAGCAATATCTCCTCGTGATGAGGTACCAGGGGCAATGTTAAGTTTCATGCGTACCTTTCAGAACACTGCTGGCATGACAGCCACCCCAATGCAGGCTGGTTGCACTGCAGCCTTGGCCAGGTCCCTAAGTGAATCTGTGTACCTGTGTTATGTCTATCTGCTTCTAGGTTGCACCACTGCGATTCCTTGTTTCCTGAATATGCCAACCAAACTTCGCAGCTCATCCAGAAATTTCTTATACTGCTACATATCTGTATCTTTCGAGCAACTGATCATATTTAAGTAGATCAATACAAATGAAGAAGGAAGAACAAATACATTTATTTGGACATCAATCACCCCCGCTCGTGACTAAAAAGGAGCCGACCCATGCTCAGGCTTGATGAGGCTAGCTGCATGCAACCAGCAAACTGCATATGTCAGCTTGCTGAGCATATTCTGGTGGCAGCTATCAGCCACGCAGACGTGTTGTACTTCGACTGGCTCCTTCCTTTCCTTCCCAAAATATAGCTCTGTTGAGCCTTTGTTTTCTTCCTCGGAGTGATCGTGATTGTGAAAGTATTTAATTTGGCACCCCCGCGGGGATGCCACTGAAAACCCCAAACCCTTCTAGAACATAGTGTACACGCCCAATATCTTTCTAGAAGAACAGAATGTCCCATTACAGAAGGGTACCAAGCAGCGGAAACGACGGGCTGCTGCCGCCGGAGTTTTTTTGTGTTTCAAATGGTGTCTCTCGGCGATCAATGTCGGCCTTGCTGCATCGTTATATGTTGTATAGGTAAAGGCGACGACGGTGCAGCAAGACAAGGCGCGACCTTTGCAGTGCCACTTATTAACTTGCTTATGTATATCGCAATTCTCATTCCTCTCAGCGTCAACCATATCTCAAAGCCAGATATTCGGGCAGGGCAAGGCCAGTTCCTCAATACCTCAGCATCAGAGGTGGAAAGTAGTTTGGCTTTGACAGGCCATCCTTACTATGGAATGCTTGTTGTTGATCTATTTACAATGTACCTCCCAATTCTTCGTCTTTTCAGGTATTTGCCGTGGTTAACAAGCCAACGCTTGCTATGTCTTAGATGCATGACCGTACTGGGTTTCCTGATTGCCCTTTCCCCTTGCTGTGAGTAAAGGACAAGAAGATTAAATTGCCAGCAATGATTTCTAATGAAAGGGAATTTTAGGTACGAGTCAGCGAGTATAAGGTTCCGGGCTTCTCGCTATACGTATCCATACATTGTGCACAAGTTATAATGTGTCTCTTTCCCCTTTTTTTCAATAGGGCCACACACCATCTTTTCCTAGCTTTCCCTCGGCTTCAATCCTGATTATACAGGCCTCGATTCTCTACACGACATGCTCCGCATACCCTGGTCCCACCGATGTTCTGGGTACGGCCATGTCCATCCTCAGGCAAGGCACAGAACTAAGCCCTTGCATGCCTGGCGCATCTCATCGATTTCCTTATCACCGTATACAGACAGCCCCAGCAAACATAGCACCCTCGGAAAGAGGAGTTATTGTTCGTCCAAAAGTCTCCAAGCCAACTGTTAATTCACTCAGGATCCAGCAATTGTTCCCAGCCCTACCCTCTTACTAGGTTGTAAAGATGCTGAATTCATGCCATTGCACTGTACAAAAGATCAATTATTCGTAGGTCAAATAATTTCTGCAATGTTGAAGTGTTAAATCCTAAATGTCCACGTCATAGAAATAGCCCGCCGTGGTACCTCGAATCAGCTTAATGCGCACAATTACTCAGCCTCCCTTATGCTGCTTATGCTGATGTGTGATCACGTACGTTACGGACCATCGTTCGCGAAAGGAAGAATAATAAGATCATGAGGAATCAAATATAAAGCCAATCATCCAGTGGTCAATGGCAGTACGACTGACAGACTTGTCTGTGAATTTCAAATTGTCAACTGCCTGAATACTATCCGCTCCTTTCATCGACCACTCTACCAAGTGCTGACTGGTGTTCGGCATTGTTTGAGCGAACCAGTGTCTGGACCCCGATCGACCACTGCAACTTTACTGACTTCTCTGGATCCTCGATTATGTTCATTGACCATTACAGCTACAGGGTCTCTGGTGGTACCCCCGATGGCCGGAAATGGCGACTTTCCCGCCGTGACCCGAAGATTGGCGAGTAAATGTAAGAACATCAAGGCAAGCTCAACGGACACGCTAAGAGAGTCATGACATTGTACATGTCGTAATCGACATAACAAAGTTAGGATGTGTCCTGCCGAGCATATAAGAAATGGGCGACGCTGATACATTAGTATTGATCGCACGGCCAGCGTCACCTATCCCGGAAATTAGTACTCTGTCTTTGACTATATCAAGATACAATGCTTTTCGGTAAACGTAATGGAGAGGACCGGCGCGTCGTCAGGCGCAGCCAGACTCAGCTTCCCATGCTGGGTCTGGCCGACAGTGCTCGAAATAACCTGATTGCTGTGGTAGGAGAGTTTGTCGGCACGTTCCTCTTCCTGTTCTTCTCTTTTGCGGGAACTCAGGTCTCCAATACACCCAAGCCGGCGCCCGGTGCCCCTCCCAACACCTCCAACCTTCTCTATTCTTCCCTATCGTTCGGCTTCTCCTTGACAGTCAACATCTGGGCGTTCTATCGGGTGACGGGGGGTCTCTTCAACCCGGCAGTAAGTCTTTGACCATACCACACGGCAGCTCAGCTCTGACAGAACAGGTCTCCTTGGCACTATGCCTGGTCGGAGGCATGCCGCCCCTTCGAGGCGTCTTCGTCTTCGGTGCACAGCTCGTAGGCGGCATCGCAGCCGCAGGCGTCGTCAGCGCTCTGTTTCCCGGTCCCCTCAACGTCGGAACTCGACTGGGTGGAGGCGCCTCCATCTCTCAGGGTCTATTCATCGAGATGTTCCTGACAGCCCAACTGGTCTTCGTCATCATCATGTTGGCCGTCGTGAAGCACAAGTCCACCTTCCTCGCGCCGGTCGGTATCGGTCTCACTTTCTTCGTCACCGAAATGATCGGTACGTTGGTTTCCTACAATCCGAATGCTCAAGCTGATGAAAACAGGTGACTACTATACCGGAGGCTCGCTGAATCCCGCTCGCTCCCTCGGCCCAGACGTGATCAACCGAAGCTTCCCTGGTTATCACTGGATCTACTGGGTCGGACCGCTCCTCGGATCTCTGCTGGCCTGTGGATTCTACACCTTCCTCAGGATGTTCAAATACGAGTCCGTCAACCCAGGGCAGGACTTCGACGAGTGGGAGGCCAAGCGTGGACATGGATCGCTCGACGAAAATGGAGGCAGAGGCTCGACAGCCTTTTCGGATTCGACCGCTGGCGCACCAAGCCATTCCCCTCGAGGTGTAAATCATCCTGGTGGACCGGTCAGCGGGGCGGACCAGGTTTAATCGATAGTATGGGTCGATGATAAACGCAGGGTAGTTCAGCGTGACGAATGAGAGGTATTTCATAGCAAGAGAAACACGCAATATGCGATATGTATTTGGTGCGAATTGTTTCGATCAGTCAGCCATCAAGCGTTGAGAAGCGACAATATAGTACTCTAAGCGAACCCCTAGTGTCTAGAAATACCGAAATCCCCCTTTACCTGATCTGGCAGGCTAGGCGGTCGCTACATCGCATCCTTGAGGACAGCATTTGATTCTGAGCAGAATCTGATTCGCAGAGAAATATCCGATTAAACACATACAGTAGAGCTAGATTAGACTCGATATTGCGATCCTATCGTCTAGTTTGTACAGCAAACGGAGTCGTTTTCACGGGTGGCAGTATATCCTCAGGTATTGCTGTAACAGTACCCTCATTGATACTGTAAGCAGATAATGCTCAAGTATTCATCTTCTGAAATTACCAGCATCAGTGATCTATTCTTGCTATCACCAATTTACCATCCTAGCCATATTACACCACGTCTAATCTTGAACCCCAGTACAGACACAACAATCCGGCGGCCTCGGCACACGCCCACATTCCAGAATCCACACTAGCTCCAGCGCTCCACTACGCACAAACCTTGGAGAACAACCGTTCGCTGTCCCACGAGCATCATCATTTCGTTTCATTTTACATCAATACTGCTCTGTTTCTATTTTGTATGGAAGAATTGACATTTCGGGGATTAGGCCAATTCTGGTAATCGCCAGATTGCACCCTGGCTATTAACGGCTACGGAGGATACTAGAAGGATTCGGTGCAGATTACAGCCTGCAGGCCTAGCGTTCTAGGCAATTCAATTGATCAATAGAATGAGATGAACCAAGACCGTGTCTCTCCACAAGTGTCACCTTGAAATGCGCAACTCGCATCCTCTTCAGTGCAGGACCACGCCCTCTGATTTCCGGACGACGCCGGCCAGACCACGAGCGTGCCCATGGGACATGGCGCATCTGTCCAACCAGATGCCACCCGACCGTGAGCGATGAACTCGAGATCTTCCAGGTCCATGGAACCACCATTGTAGGGCGAAATTCACTCAGCTTATCATGATCAGTGGGTATCAGACTCCGTATTAGCGTCTTTATCAGTAAGGAGACCGTTTTATGGACTACCGATTAGGGGGCTGCATCATCCATGGCCAGCTAGAAGCTGTGGATTTGTGGAGGCCCTCAGCCAGACCCCATAATGTCGTCTGAATGGTCCGCGACGATCATCTCCCGCTCTTCTGTCCGCCGATCGATTCCCTATCGGAGTTTCCAGGAAAGCCCCCTTTCGTGCTGGTCTCCCATGTCCAATGTCTCATCCAATGTCCTTGCAGACGGTCGTTTTTAGACTTTGCAAGTGCTCACACCATATCCCTCTAGTTTATCTAGTGCGCGGTACCTGTTCACTGGTCCGACCCGATGCAGATAACTCCATCGTCCCCGCTGGGCTGACCTCTTCCCGATTTCTTCAGTCTTCGTCCTCACCATCCTTGATGATCATCGATTCTGCAGTCATTTGAGACTGCTTGGACGCTGAGATGCTCCTGAAGATGCGCTCGCAGACCACCGTCGATGCCACAGGCCCTGACCATGGCGCCGGCGGCCATCGAGAGGTGGTCGACGACACGCAGCTCTTGGGTAAGTCGCAGGCTTTTGACGTTTGACGCGCAGCATACTGATTACAGCAGCGGAATTGGGCTACAAGCAGGAGCTGCGACGACAGTATTCGACGCTAGAAATCTTTGCGGTCGCGTTCAGTATTATGGGCCTGGTTCCCTCGATCGCATCCACGCTTGCGTTTTCGCTTCCAGCTGGGCCAGTCGGCATGGTTTGGGTTCGTTGTTTTTCTTACTTTCCTTTTTGGACGCGACTAATAGTGATAGGGATGGTTTACGGCGAGTATCCTCATCTTCTTTGTCGGTCTTGCGATGGTATGTCCCAGATTATCGTCGATTGCGCACTGTATTAACGACAACAGGCGGATATGGCGTCCGCGATGCCTACGGCTGGAGGTTTATACTGGTGGACACATTATTTCGCGGGTGAGAAGTACAAGAACCCGCTGAGCTTTTTGGTCGGATACAGCAACACCCTTGGGTTAATCGGTGGGATGTGCTCGGTTGACTGTATGTCCATGCCCCCCGCTCGATGACGAGTCGTCGCTCACAGGTCCAGACACACTTTCGCTGCTGCTGCTCGCGTGCATCTCGATCTCGCGTGACGGAGAATGGTCCGCATCCAACGGGACCATCTACGGTGTCTATGTCGGGGTGATTCTTGTGCACGCCGTGTGCGCGGTGTTCGCCGGGTCGATCATGAACAAGATCCAAACGTTCTCGATCTTCATCAACGTGGCGATGATCATCGCAACGGTGGTGGCGCTTCCCGTCGGCAAGATCAGCCGCGGCCAGTCCCTCAACCCGGGCTCGTATGTCTTCGGGGACGTGGAGAACCTCACGACGTGGCCGACGGGCTGGGCGTTTGTGCTGGCGTTCCTTGCCCCGATCTGGTCGATCGGGTTCTTCGACTCGTGCGTGCATATGAGCGAGGAAGCGCTGCATGCCGGCAAGTCGGTGCCGCTGGGGATCATCTGGTCGTCGGGTTGCGCCACGGTCCTGGGATTTTTGGTCCTGTCCGTGATTGCCGCGACGATGGACCCGGACGTGAGTAACACGATGGGCACGAAGTTCGGGCAGCCCATGGCGCAGGTACGGCAGTTCCAGCCCTTCGGACGTGCGGAAGCAAACTGACAGCCTAGATCTACTATGACGCTCTCGGCAAGAAAGGAGCTCTTGGCTTTACGGGTGTGCTGATCGTCATTCAATTCCTGGTCGGCCTGAGTTTGGTAAGCTCCAGCTCTGAGAAAGTAGGCAGGGGGCAGTACTGATGAACCAACAGATCGTCGCTGCATCCCGCCAAGCATGGGCATTCTCGCGCGACGGCGCCCTCCCCTTCTCCGGCTACTTCCGCCACGTCAGTAAACGCATCCGCTACCAGCCCGTACGGGCGATCGTCGGCTTCGTCGCCGTGTGCATCGTCGCCGGCCTGCTGTGCCTGATCAACTCAATCGCGGCCAACGCGCTGTTCTCCCTGTTCGTGGCGAGCAACTACGTCGCCTGGGGAACCCCGATTCTGTGCCGCGTGATCTGGAGCAAGAGGCACTTCCGGCCGGGCGAGTTCTACACGGGGAAGCTGAGCCGGCCGATTGCCATTGTGGCCGTCCTGTGGTTGGTATTTGGGCTGATGCTGTCGATGTTTCCGAGCGGAGGACCGAATCCTACTCGTAAGTTCTGTCTTTGCGGACTACGAATCATGCTAACAGCTACAGCGTCGACGATGAACTACACGATTGTGATCAACGGGTTTGTGTGGGTCGCGTGCATGACGTATTATTTCCTGTTTGCGCGCAAATGGTACACAGGCCCGAAGATGACCATTGATTCGCCGGAGGTTGTATCCTCGCCGCCAGAAAAGGATTCAACGGATTGATGGGTTGTATTTCATGGGATATCAGATGTTGTCATTGTCATATTGGTCTTAATCATTCAGAAGTACATGTACAGGTCCAGGTATATAGACATAACGTGATCAGCGAATCATCCTCCTCCTCAAATCCTTTTCTCAAATCATTCTAAACCCATCTACAGGGCAGCCATAACACCCAGCACACCAGCAACACCCACAATCCCCGCCCCCAGGAAGGGCGTCGCCTGCGCACCCGCCCCTTGAGACGTCGAGGTCGAGGTGCCGGCCGCACCGGTACTGGTGCTCGTCCGGGTCATGGTAGTAGTCAACGACCCACTCGTCGAGGTGGTAGTATCCGTCAGCGTCGCAGTGGTGCTGCTCGTGCCCGTGCTCGCACTCGCCGAGCGCGTCTCAGTCGCAGTGGGAGTCCCGTTCGTTCCCGTCAAGGTAGTCAGTTGATCGCTCCAGGCGGAGGAAGCCTTGCTCGCAGCATCGGAGGCGCGGGACTGTGCGTCGGACGCGACGGAGGTCGCCCAGGACTGGACGTTTGAGGCGGCGGAGCCGCCTTCAGAGGTGATGGAGGAGATGGCAGCCGCGCCGCCGGTCTCGAAGGCGGAGGCGATGGAGGTAGCGTCGTCGCGGACGTTGGAGGCGACGTTTTGGCCGTCGGCGGCGATGTTGTTGGCTGCTGAGACGAGGGAGCCGATTGCGTTGTTGTTATCCTGGGCGTAGGCGGAGGTCGCCAGGAGGAGGGCTGCGAGGTGGATGAGTTGCATTTTGCCTGGTCTTGTTTTCTTGATTGGTTTGGTTGGTTTATGTGATGGTATATGTGTGTGTATGTGTATGTGTATGCGTATGCGTATGGGTATGAGCGAGGAGACGTGAATGAACGAGGGCTAGGGATCGACTTTATATGTGTTGTTACACTGCCAACGCAATACACCATAAATAGATCCGAGTAAAGCCTACAGGTACTCCGTCCTGGCCCCTGGGACAGCTCCACCACAAGGCGCAGTGACTGCGTGGCGATACATACATGCACATACAAGTACTGCCAGTGTGGAGGTACGGAGTTCAATCACAATAATGCAATTCCAATTCCATCCACAGTCTACCAATAACCAGTCTAAAAACAGCAATGACGACGTCCACGGGTCGATCGGATGAGGATCTGCCAATCGCATTTTCCAGCATCATCATCGGGTCCACTGTGTCCAGGTCAGGGTCAGGCTACGGACAGTTTCTTTTCTCTGTTGACGTTGATGTCGAGGATGATGTATCTACGTCCAAGAAAATGCATACAGTACCTCTCTAGCCAAGCTGAATACATCATAATTAATTTATCGTCGGCTGCTACTGACTAGTGTCTTGTCTCCAGGTTTAGGAACTTGATTAATGGCGCGGCAGACGACAGGGCTGTAGCTACTGAATCGTAAAGTATTTTCCAGAACCAAGCCACGGATCCACTTGCGTATGCTTCGTCTAGCCATGCCAGGAATAGCGGTGTGGGGGGCGCAGTGAATAAGCAATATGAATGGCTCTGGCGTGAGCTGATCCATAGATCAGCGGCTTAGTGAGACTGCCCAGGTTTGTGCCATGTAAGCAAGCCTGTAAGACCTGTTTGTGTTATGTTACTTGAATATTGTGCTGCCTAGATGCCAAGATGATGACGTATGCTCGGTCGTGGTCCATTGCATATCACCAATTATACAAGTGATCAAGTAGACTAGTTTACAAGGCAATGGTAACTGTAGTTACTCGGTTTTCCGTAGGATAAAGTAGGACTGCCGAGGTGTGGCAATGCCGCATGTGGCGGTGATGGCTCAGGTAAATATTACTACATTTGGAAAAAGATTATGTACTCCAGGGCACCCCTAGTCGATGACTAGGCAAATTGCCGGTATGCTTGAATGATGGCCTCCCATCCTCCCGGGTGATTGTACTCGGTCGGATTCGACTGTCCGTCCAGCACCATCACGTTCGTCTTGCGCGTATTGATCGAGTACCACACCAGATTCTGGGGGCTGTTGCTCACCCGCATCATGTTGCTCTGGCAGTTTCCACTGCACTGAGTCCCGTAATCTCCGTACCACTCGCCGTCGAAGAATGCCCACGCCGCGGAATTGTACAACAGCACGTCCTTGCCGCCGTCGACGTTGGTTGCCAGCGCCGTTCGGCACTTCTGGTCGCCGCCGGCGCACCAGGAGAAGTCCGGATCACCAACCGCAGAGTCCGCTGTCCACGGCGCGGGCGCTGTCTGAGTCGCGCCGCTGCCCTGCATGTACGGACTCTCAGTCTGGAGTAGACCCGCGTAGACGTTCTGCGCGTTGTGGAAATTGTAGTTATATAACCAGTGGTGCTCCGAGCCAGTTCCCGTCAGCCATGTCCCCTTGGTCGACTCGACCAGCACTCCGCGGCCGGTCGAGATGACGGTGTATCCCGACCCGCCGTCCAGGTTGTGGTCCGCTGTCCAACCCCAGAAGTTCTCGATATAGGCTGACGAGCTCTTGGTCAGATGCATCACCATGTAGGCCGCCATGCACTGGGAGGTGTCCTGGTTCGTGCACTTGGTCGAGATGCTCGTCTCGGCTGTGCCGCCGACAGTGACGATTGTATTCCACAAGCCCACGTCGCCCGGAGCGCTGCCGGCCATGTTGACTTCGAGGATCTTGGCTCCCGGTAGGATCTCCGACACGCTGAACCGCATGTCTTGGATTTCTGCAACGCCCACGTCGCCCGGGTTGCCGATCCGGACCACAGCCTTGGGACTGCGGGCATTCTTGAAGGCGTCGCCCGCGCCGGAAATCACCGACCAAGCCTCTCCGACGATCCGAGAGCCCGGCGGAATGACCAACGTGTCCTTGACTATGTACACGCCGTATGGGAAGTAGCTGATCTTACAGTTGGCCGCGTTATCGGCCAGAATCGCGTTGAGGGAAGCAGAGTCGTCGGTGTATCCGTCACCTTTGACAGCGTGGCCTGCCACGGCCTTGACGTTGACAATCTGGTCGCTGGCGTACTCGGCATAGGTCGGCTGGGCTTTCGTAAAGTACTTTCCCCCAGATAGCAGCACGCCGGGACGGCTGGTGCTGAAGCTGGTTCCCGATTCGTACTGGCCTGGAGTGACGTTACCCCAGACCCAGGTGTCGACATGAGATGTGCTGGCCAGTTTGACGTTGCCGCTGCTGTCTTGGGCAATGGGGTTTCCATTGTCATGGGACAAGTTCTCGATCAAGATCTGGCTGTTGCGGTTGCCACCGTCCTTGGACGAGTCGTGGAACTTGATCGTAGTCCCGGAGTTGACAGAGGTTGAATCCAGCAGCACCAAGCTCCCCAGTCCGTTGCTGGTCATGTCGATGCCTACTCCGCAGTTCTCGAATGTAGCGCCTTGAAGCAGAGCGGTGTGGCCACCGGACGCTTTGAAGGCGGTTGTGCAGCCGTTGAAATGGATGTTCTTGAAGTTGACCTGCTGGTTGGAATTGTCGATGCCAACGACACCTCCATTGATTTGCTATAACCCGTCAGCTGCACGACCACCACGGCACAGAAGACGGGGGACCAACCACATCGGTTATGGCAATAGTAGACCCCCCCTGGATACGAATACCAGTATGACCGGTGGAATAATTCGGCATGTTAATCTTGACGTTAGTCAGACCCGCACCCTGCGCGACACCCCACTGCAGAGCGGTAATCCGAGTATCAGGTCGCAGAGCAGTGGTATCCAACACCACGTTCTTCATGAGTGTCATGAAACTGGTCTCCGGGGGGCCGTTCTTGGAGTCGTATCCATTCACGAGTGTGTCGCCGTTGAACCCGGCCGCCGCCTTGATCACAGGCGGGTTAATTGGGTCTCCGACAATGAGCGTGCCAACTCGGAGGTTGAGTGTGCTCCCCAGCTGGTAGGTACCACCCGGAAGATAGACCTGAGCGGGGTATCTAGTGACACCGGAGCTTTCACGGCTTCCACCGCTGCCATTGTCGTTAATGGCTTTTTGCAAGCTGGCAGTCTGGTCGCCGGAGCCGTCATTTTTCGCAGAGTAATCCAGAACATTACGCCAGACGGGGTAGTTGTAGTTCCCTCCCGCATTAGGGGCATATCCGCGCGGATTTCCGGTGTGGTCCTGTTTTGCGAGCCAGTATGTAGTCGGTGAGCTCTTGACAGGACCGCTGCAGGAAGGAGCACGAGCCCCGACAGCTGCAGATGAGGCCACAGCCAGCGTGCTGACCAGCGCGGTCAAGGAGAGGAGACCACGCATGCTAAGCAAGATGAGAGACTGGGCAGAACAAATGAATGAATGGGGAATGGCGGTCTTACTGTCAATTGGAGAAGGCGACACATCGCTAATATATAGTCCTCCATCTTTAGCTCCATCATCTCCCAGCACCGCAATCAAAGAGAGCTGATTTGTATAAAGCAAAAAGACTTGGCTATCCCGAAGCTGAACAATCATCGTGCAGAAAGACCGGGCTTAAATGGCCGGGTAACACCACATGTGCCACGAGAACAGACAGGAATTTCCTAAGAGAGAAAGGTGAGCGTCAGTACTAGGACGATGTAGTGAGACAGCGCCGACTTGGCCCCGATTTGAAACGCTGCCGTAAACGCTTACAAATGAGGCGATGCCCGATCAGGGAAGTGGTGTCCGTCGACAGCGGTCATTCCGGCCAGCAGACGGCAGAGGAGACCCCCTGAATTAGATCGATTATCGATTATTAGGATCTGATAGATCCTTTGAAAGATTGCCAGACCTGATGAATGATGAGGGAATTGGACCTGAATCCTAAGTGCGATCAGGGGCTTCCAGGGCAATACGTAATACCATGTAGAGCTCTAGTTCCTGAGGAGTTGACCGATAAATACTGTAAATACGTTTTTCTGCCGGACCAACATAGATCCGTCAGGGGCAGTTTTCTCCGTGTCCCAATTGGGAGAGCTTACATACATCTTACATGGTCAGAGTGCATGCCTCTATGCTCGACCTTCAGCTTGCAGGCCAGTTCTCAAGTGATGTGTGATTTCATTCCTCTATACATTGAGTTGGTGAAAGGATGCTTTGCCCATGACTCAGATCGCGGGATAAACGAGTCTCGTCATTAGTGTACTGTGTGGATTGCAATCTTGCTAGCACCACAACATGAGGTTCAACGTTGGAGTTGCTTACCCCAAAGCCAATACAGTACAGTTGATTTATGCGCACGTGAAGACTTTCGGGGAAATACCATTATTTTCATGGGAATAAGATGAGACGCGAAATCCAAATCTCGACGGAAGTAAGTCTGGTGTCGACCATGGTTCGTTCGCGGGCTCGGGAGTTTCCTCCGTTGCTGGAGCTCATCGACGTAAATAACAACGTCAACAGACTACCGAAGTCAAGAATCTATTGCGCCTCAGGCTATCATTCAATGCAACCGCCTAGGCCGACAACAAGTCGAAAGACAATCACTCTAACAAAAGCCATGGTGCTTCTTACCTGTTGCTCGGGAAGGTCTACTCCTGCGGAACATCAATAATGACTATCCATTTATTCTCTGACAGGTGATGAGACCCGTTGGTTCATGACGTCGAGCAGACGAACTCATGTGGCCAACACCATGCATAGGTGAAGTCACAGGCGACTAGCCACCTCCAAGGCGAACCATGTCATCTTTCTTCCTTGCGATGGCTTTGTGGAATCTTCTCTGCTTGGCTCTGCTACTCTGAGCACGATACAAGATCAAGCCGCATTGTACGTATATCCTTCTAAGTGTTCTGCTTCCTGCCAGGGTACGTACA